TTCGGTCACATTGTAGATTATTTGCTAATGTTAAACGTAAATAAACAATATATAGTTCATGCAATGACATATTAAATATTGTCAAAAAATGGCTAAAAAAGGATAATCAAGTAACTGGAATTTATTAAACCAATATATCAACAACGTATTTATTTTTATTCATACGATGAAAAAAGATACAATTTTTTCACTCTATGATCAGCGTTCTTTGATTCTTGTTTACCTGACTTGCTTTTCATTGTTTATTATTTGTTATTGTACATTGGATCAATTTCCTGCTTTTGCAAGAGAAGAATTTTATTCACTCTTTTCAGTTTTGCTGAACGTCAATAAAAATGATAAAATGTACCGTTGCAAATGCGAACAATGTTTAACAGAAATTACGAACCTGTCATTTTGACCGCTTTGATAGCTCTAGTGTTAATGTAACATTATCGTTTCGTATATCAGCGTCATGAACGAGAGCTGTTAAATGCTCTTTCGTGCGTCGAGCGGCTCCCATCGTTCAATCGTTGAAATTTCAAAGCGCTTTAATTGCTTTTTTGATCTTTTTCTCTCACTCTTTTCCTTTTTCCTTTTCCGATTGGGAAGTTTGCACTCCATCTCCGCGCGCAACGATCAATATTTCAAGAGGATCAATATTACGACAATCGAAAGAACTCGAAGAACGCCGCGCAAAAACTGTTCGGGAACAATGGAGCTGCCTGAAGCGCGCCGGCAGCTGAATCGGTCCTCGGGGAGACGGGCGAACCAATCGACGTTCAGATGCCAAATGTGCAAAGCCGAAAATGCATGACCTACATTATCGATATGCGACCTCCGGCGCGATAGATATGACGCGTACCGTGACCCCCCCGATAGTTGACGGCATCGCGAAAACGCGCGCGCATTGATCGTGCGTGATTTAAAGCGACTTAAAGCGCGCGCTGCTGCTCTCGAGCGCTCGGGATTCCGGCGCGCTCGTCACAATCCTCGTGGATCGAGTCGATGCAGATTTCAAGCGAAAGATCGCAATCGAACGGGCCGCGCGACTCCACGGCAACCCTTACTGCGTCCTTACAGTTGCAAAATGCCAATGCGCTTACTACTCATTCAAGAGGCTCATTCAAGATTCAGCAGGAGTTAATGCAATCCTTTTATCGACTAGCCTGTACTCGGCTCGCAAAAATCCCATCCGTCTCGGCGCGTCCTTCGTACTTAAATAGCGTATCAGGATCGAATGGCGAATTAAAGACATCAGACGAAGCCTCTATTGTGAAATTAACTGGAAACGTATAATCGGCCTGCTATTTCGATCTGCACGATACACCGAACTCATTCATTTACTTTATGAGCGATTAACCGGCCGTGCATGTATGTCGCGGACGGTTAAAATAATCGGCGTCTCCATTATTTCTTCGTTTTCGGTACCTGCCCTTCAGCGACAAGGCGCGCGACCTTCGCAACATTCTCTAGACGTGTTTGTTCATTCATTCAATCGGAGCTACGTATGACTGCGCGACCTTGACACGACTAAGTGGTCGGAGGTTTATTGCAAATTAAATCAAGTCGAGCGTAGCTGTTGATACGAACGTATCAATAGTGTGTGTCGTTATCGCGCGTTTCCTCGCAAAACCCAAAGCGCCCGAGATACGTTCGTCGTATTATCGCGCCGCACGTCGACGTTCGCATCAGCGATGAGGTAGGTGTATCGCCGAACACACATCAGGTCTTGGTATTTAGGCGAAGGCAGTCGCGGAAATGTTGAATGCGAGACACGCGGAGAGAGGAGGAATGGGTGAGCGAGAGAGAGAGAGA